TTTCCTTTTTATCTTTTATCTGTGTTCGACATGTTTGTATATCGCCTGTTTAATTAACTCCTCCTTGAACCGTCACCTTATCGTGGTGGAGGAGTTTGAGTGCCCTAATGATCCTAGGAGCTATGTTGTCTGGGGCACTTAGTGCCCCTGGTAGGGTCTCCCATGACAAATTGGTCTTAGGTGAAGGGTGAGACAAAGAACGGTTCGAAGGATCTTTCATGGCGGTTAAAACGAAGAGTCGGAGTACCCGGCCCGGAGGGTTACCGGGGTCCCACCCTGGAGCCAGGCCTGGGGTTGGGGCCCGTGAGCGAGCGCCTGGTGGCCGGGCTTTCGCCCATGGGGCCCGGCCGGGCCCAGCCCGAACCGGATACATGGGCTCGTCCAACTGTGGACCCACCACCCGCAGGAGGAACATGAAGGGTCCGGTGCAATGCGAATCGGGTGGCAGACCAAGGCGGGAGCCTTGGCGGTCCAATCCCCAGACAAGAAAACTAGTTTTTGGGACATGGAACGTCACCTCGCTGGCGGGGAAGGAGCCGGAGCTTGTGGCAGAGGTTGAGCGGTACCGGCTAGATATAGTCGGACTCACCTCGACACATTGCATTGGCTCTGGAACCCGAGACCTGGAGAGGGGTTGGACACTCTACTTTGCTGGAGTTGCTCCGGGTGAGAGGCGGAGGGCTGGGGTTGGCTTTTTGTTAGCCCCGAGACTCTCTGCCTGTGTGTTGGGGTTCACCCCGGGGGACAAGAGGGTAGCTTCCTTGCGCCTTCGGGTCGGGGAACGGGTCCTGACTGTTGTTTGTGCTTATGGGCCAAATATCAGTTCAGAGTACCCACCCTTTTTGGAGTCCCTGGGACGAGTGCTAGATAGTGCTCCATCAGGGGACTCCATTGTCCTGCTGGGGGACTTCAATGCTCACGTGGGCAATGACAGCTTGACCTGGAGGGGTGTGATTGGGAGGAACGGCCCACCTAATCAGAACTCGAGCGGTGTTTTGTTATTGGACTTCTGTGCAAGCCGCAGTTTGGCCATAACGAACACCAAGTTCGAACATAAGGATGCCCACCGGTACACTTGGTACCAGGGCAGCCTAGGTCACAGGTCGATGATAGATTTTGTAGTCGTATCATCTGACCTGCGGCCGTATGTTTTGGACACCCGAGTGAAGAGAGGGGCGGAGCTGTCAACTGATCACCACCTGGTGGTGAGTTGGATCAGATGGCAAGGGAACATGCCGCGTAGACCTGGCAGACCCAAACGCATAGTGAGGGTCTGCTGGGAACGCCTGGCAGAAGAACCTGTCAAGACGGTCTTCAACTCCCACCTCCGGCAGAGCTTTGACCACGTCCCGAGAGCAGTGGGGGACATTGAGTCCGAGTGGGCCTTGTTCCACTCTGCGATTGTCGAGGCGGCTGTTGCTAGCTGTGGTCGTAAGGTGGCCGGTGCCAGTCGTGGTGGCAACCCCCGTACCCGCTGGTGGACACCAGAGGTTCGGGGAGCCGTCAGGCTGAAGAAGGAGGCCTACAGGGCGTGGCTGGTCTGTGGGTCTCCGGAGGCAGCAGACAGGTACCGGATAGCCAAGCGGGGTGCAGCAGTGGCAGTTGCCGAGGCAAAATCTCGGGCGTGGGAGGAGTTTGGTGAGGCCATGGAGAAAGACTATCGATCGGCTCCAAAGAGGTTCTGGCAAACTGTCCGGCGCCTCAGGAGAGGAAGGCAGCAACTCGCTCACACTGTTTACAGTGGGGATGGGGAGCTGCTGACGTCAAATGAGGCTATAGTCGGACGGTGGAAGGAATACTTTGAGGAGCTCCTCAATCCCACCAATGCGCATTCCGAGGAGGAACCAGAGCTGGGAGGCCTGGGGATGGACTGTCCGATCTCGGGGGCAGAAGTTGCTGAGGTAGTCAAACAACTACACAGCGGCGGAGCCCCGGGGGCGGATGAGGTTCGTCCTGGGTATCTCAAGGCTATGGATGTTGTAGGGCTGTCATGGTTGACACGTCTCTACAACATTGCGTGGTCATCGGGGGCAGTTCCTAGGGAGTGGCAGACCGGGGTGGTGGTCCCCATCTTTAAGAAGGGTGACCTGAGGGTGTGTTCCAACTATAGGGGGATCACACTCCTCAGCCTCCCTGGAAAGGTCTACTCCAAGGTACTGGAGAGGAGGGTCCGATCGATAGTTGAATCTCAGATAGAGGAGGAGCAATGTGGTTTTAGTCCTGGCCGTGGAACTGTGGACCAGCTCTATACCCTTGCAAGGGTGATGGAGGGGGCATGGGAGTTTGCCCAACCAATCCACATGTGCTTTGTGGATTTGGAGAAGGCTTATGACCGTGTCCCCAGGGGCACCCTGTGGGGGACGCTCCAGGAGTATGGGGTGGGTGGCTTTCTGTTAAGGGCCATTCAGTCCCTTTACCAGAGGAGCGTGAGTTTGGTCCGCATAGCCGGTAGTAAGTCGGACCTGTTCCCAGTGAGGGTTGGACTCCGCCAGGGCTGCCCTTTGTCACCGGTTCTGTTCATACTTTTATGGACAGAATTTCTAGACGCAGCCGTGGTGTGGAGTGTGTCGAGTTTGGTGGCAGGAGAATCTCGTCTCTGCTTTTTGCGGTTGATGTGGTCCTCCAAGCTTCATCCAGCTCTGACCTTCAGCTCTTGCTGGGTAGGTTCGCGGCCGAATATGAAGCGGCTGGGATGAGGATCAGCACCTCCAAATCTGAGACCATGGTTCTCGACCGGAAAAGGGTGGCTTGCCACCTCCGGGTCGGGGGAGAGGTCCTACCTCAAGTGGAGGAGTTTAAGTATCTCGGGGTCTTGTTCAAGAGTGAGGGTAGGAGGGATCGGGAGATCGACAGGCGGATTGGTTCGGCGTCTGCAGTGATGCGGACGCTGAGCCGATCTGTCGTGGGGAAGAGGGAGCTGAGCCAGAAAGCCAGGCTCTCGATTTACCGGTCGATCTACGTCCCAATCCTCACCTATGGTCATGAGCTTTGGGTAATGACCGAAAGAACGAGATCGCGGATACAAGCGGCCGAAATGAGTTTCTTCCGTAGGGTGGCCGGGCTCAGCCTTAGAGATAGGGTGAGGAGCTCGGACATTCGGGAGGGACTCGGAGTAGAACCGCTGCTCCTCCGGATCGAGAGGAGCCAGTTGAGGTGGTTTGGGCATCTGGCCAGGATGCCTCCTGGACGCCTCCCCGGGGAGGTGTTTCGGGCATGTCCTGCCGGCAGAAGGCCCCCGGGTCGACCCAGGACACGTTGGAGAGGTTACATCTCCAATCTGGTCCGGGAACGCCTTGGGGTCCTGCCGGAGGAGCTGGTGGACAAGGCCGGGGAGAGGACGGCCTGGAGCTCCCTAGTTGGGATGCTGCCCCCGCGACCCGGACCCGGATAAGCGGAGGAAAACGAGGACTGTTTAATTAACTAACATTTTTAGTGTACAGCGCCTTGTTTGGTTGTAATGCCTTGTGAATGCGCTTTATAAGTAAAATTGGACTGGATTGGATTGGATTTCCCTATTTACACATGTCTGTCGTTCTTATTTATACACTTATTTTACGCACACGATAACAAGGATTGCCGTGTTCATGTCAAATTAAACTGATCACAATACATTGATTTACATTCTTTTTTTCGTCTTCCTCCTCCAATCCCCATAAATCCCTGTGTGTCCTCCTACAGCAGGACAACAGACATCCATAACAACACAGAAAAAGTCTGGTGTGTTGTGTAAAAACTGCTATTTTTAGCACATTTGTAGGTCCAACATGTTGCTACCAGATGTACAGTGTGAGCAGTCAGGTCGTATCCGATAACTACACTGAGAAAAGTACTTTTTGAGAGAGGTATATATGATCTATAAAAACCATATAACATTTACTCGATTATTGCACTTACCCATTACTTCACAATTCCTTGGATAAGGTAAATTTGACCTATGCTACTCATTGTTTAATTGTAACAACCATTACATAGAAAACTATGGTAAAACATACCCCAAAACATTGAGTCCTGTGCTACAAATTGCGCATGCGCCAGACCGCGTTTTTTGAGTGAACGAGCAGGACGGGGAATTCTGGATCCTCTCTCCAGCAGCCGTCGAACTGCAGAAGTGAAGGTAAGCCATGGTGTTGTTTATATCAAGAATGTGAATGGTAATTTCTGAATAGATGAGATATCACACTCCATTTGTATTATGCGTGTGTCTGTGTAGCGTGAATTAATAAGTTTGAATCTGTCGATGGCTCCACCGTGACCGGACAGCAGTTAAGTTGCAATGAAATGTGTTTGCAGCCTGCGCTGTATTAGTTCCATTTATTTTCTTTTTTATAGTTTGTGTGCATGACCAGGCCCGCACTGTCGTTCGTAACGGATGAGATTGTGTTCATATTACAATGTTTGGAGTTTTTAAGAGTTTAAAAACTGACTCAGAGGAAGAGAGGAGGAGACGAGCGCAGCACAGCACGCAGAGGGCGAATGTTGGGATAACGTAGCTACAATTGCTGGCAGGTCTGGTCATCGTTGACTTTTTTCTTTGACTGTTAATGTCTTAAGATTTTGAGGAAGAATAATGACTCGTGAAAAATATGTACAGCCCCTCTGCTGCAACTTTCCTGGTTCTTTTAGATCTCAGGTCGGGAGAACGATGAGTCATGCCACATCAATTTTATTATCCATTTGCGTTATTTTTTCCTTCACTCTGATGGACATATTCACTGATCCAGTAAAAGAAAGTGATGCTCAATCAATCAATCAACTTTATTTATATAGCACTTAATCCTACAATACATGCAACTCAAAGTGCTTAACAAATTAAAAAGGTCCTACATACCCACATTCCCTCCCATCCCAAGAATTTTAAAAACAGTCTGACAATAAAAAACCCTTTACAACACTCCTCCACTGACACACGCACACACACACACACACACACACACACACACACACACACACACACACACACATGCACCCTCCCCCATGGTAAAAAAAACAGAGTTTAGACGTATCACAACAGTTTCATTGGAGGAGACATTCATGCTGAAACTTGACGAGTACACACCAGGTCTTTTGCGGCTTATGCGTGACCAAAGGAGGAGCTGCTGGTTCCAAGAAGAGAGCTCTGCTGGACACTTTAAATAACGTATGTTTTTAAAAAAAATTCAAAAAAGTGTTATTGATATAAGTGAATTTAAAGTAAAATATTTGTGAACAATTGCTTTGTTGTGTACAAAGTTGAGCTCCTTAGCAACTTAACAAACTACCTTTTAACATCAATCTGTGAAATGCTAAAAAAAAGGTTTTAGCTTTTAAGGGATTTGGTCTAACCCCTCTCTCACACTGGAGGCATCAGTGGTGCGAAACAGAAACTCTTGCGCATCAGTCTTCACTGGGAGAGTCTCAGCCATGGAGCGCCTCCTCTGCCGCCCTCCTTGCTGGACTCGCAAGATCACAAAGTCGCACGAGACTTCAAAAGTCTCATGATTTGTGAATGCCGTCCACCAGAAAAACAAAAAGAAATAGAAAATCATGTTTGACGTTGCTGTTTGATGTCATATTAAATGTTGTTCCTCTCCACTGCCAGGATTAATACTACGAAAAGGAGGCAGAAGTGATTCTGGTGTTTTTTAGTAGTCGTGTAAAAAGATTTTAGAGTCACAACGGTATATAAATCACTCAACTTACAGTATTTTCTTTAAATTTCACTTGTAAGTCACTTTGGACAAAAGCATCTGCTAAATACATAAACATAAATTATCTCCCCACAGACACAGCATTCAGAAAAAAATGGATGCAGTCGTCTGCTGCCTCATGAACTACCTCAGTGAAAGACAAGAAGATCATGACTGCCAGTCATTCATGATAGATGATTGATTAACTCAAGGGATCCTCATGTCCTCCTCTCCTAGCCAATCCTCTTTACTCCTCTTCTGCTTTCCATTTCTGTCCACTACATGCAGGCTCTCCTTTAGATAAACTTAAATGTATTGGAAAAAGTATCTTAAATAATGTAAAACATGTAAATGTTTTTTGTTTTTTCTTTTTCACATGTAGGAATGTGAGGAAAACAGACAAAACGATGAAGGTGATCGTGATGCACAACGCCATGGCTGAGGAGGACCCATCACATGTGTCTATTGTGATGGAGGGAAACAGAACAAAGGCATGTGTGCTGCTGATGGGGCTGATATATGCCCTCAACCTTGAATATCCGAAGCAGCTGAAGAACACATTTGAAGCTTTTCAAAAAAATTTTTTGGAACTCGACGGGACAAAACTTCTGAAAAAAAGGTACACAGCCTCAAAAATATGCTCATGCAATAAACACACATTCCACCCCATCTTCCAGGTGAATCTTTTGACAGTTAGAGTCGTAATGTAGTGTAGTTTTTTATTTGATTTCTCTTCCATCCTCCGCTACAGACACAAAAACAACCTTGTAGAGTTTGTGTGTGCGCGCTTTTTGCCTTAGAAAACATAAGTGGCATCTTAAAGTTTTGTTTGCATTAGTCAGTTATCCAGAAACATTACAAGCTGTAAATGATGTTAGTGACTTATTAAACAGGTCAGTTCATTGAAATATTGTGTGAAAGTGTTGTACTGCACTTTAATTTGTTTTCTTTGATAATTTAGGGCAAGATTGCTGCAAGACTGTTGGAGTATTTGTTGTATAAATGCACCTGTACTGCAGATATTTTTAGTCACTGTTATGGAAAGCTGAATAGACACACAAGTAAGATTTTAGAGAACTTCTTTATGTGATCGGACATCCCTTGGAGCTCTGATATTGATCTCACTTATTTCATTTTCTAATCTCGTCTCTTCTCCTCAATTCTTATGTCCTAAAACAGGGATATGTTTTGCTGCACTTTATTCTGTGTTTTTGTGGAATAAAACCATTGAGATTATGTACTATCTGAGTGCCTTTTGTGTGTGTGTGGGGGGGGGGACGACACATCTTACCCTATATAAACAAGTGATGGCTATTAAATGATATTAATTAACTTTGTGTAGTAATAATCAGGTACTAACTACTAGCAAACAAGAGATAATTTTTACCCATTTTCGACGAGTAAAGTAGCTGTTGAATGGATCTATAAATGTGAGAATTTTTTTTTACCTATTTAAGTATTTCATAGCTTTCAATTTAAGTCATTTTATACTCAATTTATGAGAGTAAATCTACCCCAGAGAAGTCAATGCAGATTGTTACCTCAGATTTATTGGGTAAATTCTATAGTTTAGTGTTCTCAGTGTAGGTCGTACATTGTGAGCACATGACACATGAGATTTGCTCTGCGAGGAAGTGGTACAGTTTGAGCTGACGCTGAGTGCTACAAGTGAAAAAGTTGCATAGTGTCCGCCCGTTTTAAGGCGTTAAAAAGACTAACACACAGGGAGGAGAAAGGTTTTGCTTTCAGTTCTACAAACGGACGCTAAAAGCAAGCTAAAACTGCCTAGTCTCCTTTTAAGGAACCAAACTTTTGCGCAATCTTGGCTTTGATGGTCTGGATTGCAAAGAGCAGGTTAGGAGGGTGATGGGGTTTGGCCTTCCAAAAACATCGATCTGCCTTCTACTGAGAAAAGAAAAGAACCTGTGGTCATTTCTGCTCCTCCAACACATCACCGTGGCTGGGAGTTATTGGATGGTTCAACTGTAAAATGTTTCTGTGATGCCTAAAGAGTTTGTCTTTGCAAGTTTCCACATAAAAGGAGAGGCGCTGAGGGCTTTCACAATGAGGGATGTGGCGTTGACAGACCAGTTAAATCATCAGCAGCACACACTCCCACAGATAGTGGGACGTGCTCATCACAGCTCTTCCTGAGATCTGTTACTATCTTGCTTTTTCTCACATTCAAAGTGAGGTTGTTTTATTTTTATTTTTTTTGTCACTGCATGGCTAAATGCTTCACTTCCTCTCTGTTGTGTTCTTCACTGTTATGCATGATGAGGCCCACCACTGTCATATCATCAGCAAGTTTAATGATGTGGTTGGAGGCAAATCTGGCAACGCAGTCCTGAATCAGCAGGGTGAACCTGAACAGGCAGAGTGCACATTAAATCTGTGTAGACTGGGGTGTTTTTCAGCTCTGTGTTGTAAAATATCGTCCCAAATTAACATGGATGTCACAATTATACCAACATGAACACATGAAGAAAAGTCATTAAAGCTTTATGTCACCCAAAAAACAGAAAAGACATTAGTGCTTACTTAGCCAGCTATAACCACAAACTGTCATCGATGCCTGAGATTTCTATGAACAAATATTTTAATTTTTTAAACACTATTATTCCAAAATAACCAAATACCTCTGATTTGAGAAAGGTGTAAGAAACAACTAGGCAGGGCTTGATCAAAATAAATAAGCAAACAAAAAAATAAATGAGTAATGGCAAAATGGTTTGTGTGCATCTGATCCAGTTTTCCTATTCATCTCTTATGTTCATGTTTATTTATTTAGCAGACGCTTTTATCCAAAGCGACTTACAATTTATAACCTGTAGGGCATGTTGTGAGCTGTGGGAAAAACCGGAGTACCCGGAGGAAACCCACGCATGCATGGGGAGAACACGCAACTCCACGCAGAAAGGCCGCAGCCGAGTTTTCGAACCTGAGACCTTCGTGCTGCGAGGCAACAGTGCTAACCACTGTTCCACCATGCAGCCCATCTCTTACCTCTGACACCTAAATAGATATTTTCTGTAAACCCTAGAGATGGTTGTGGGTGAAAATCCCAGTAGATCAGCTGTTTCTGAAACACCTAAACTGGCCTGCTGGGCACCAACAGCCATGCCGCAGTTATCCTCTTTATTCTCAGTTCTGATGCTGATTTGAGCTCCTGCAAGATGCATTTACCAAATCTTGAAGTCCAAATGTGTTGTGATCAGGTGATTACGTATTTGTGTTGACAGGCAATAGAATAAACAACTGTTGCAGCTTCACTTTCCTGTTGGTTATGCACAGGGATGGTTGACAGATAAATATTCTAAAGGTCAACTTTACTCGTGTTTTACATTTGTAGTGGTTTCTAGTGGGAATGGATGCCTTGTATGTTGTTCTTTGGGGAGCAAAAACTATAGTGTGCCTCTTTGAGGACGTACAAGTCAGATGGTGGAGAAAGTAGCAGAACACGGCAGGATTTGGAGTCGTATTTCCTGATGTTTGGACATCTCGCCTTGGATTGGATACCATTGATTCCATTTGTGCTGCAACGTTGATGTTTTATCTCCACAAACAACACAAGCCTGAAGGAGTTCTGTCATGTGGTGGAGTTGCTAATGCTAACAGTTCTGGACAGTCCTGGACGCTAAACCAACAACAGCCTTCCCCGTCACGAGTCAAGATGGGTGAGTCCATGAATGGTGAGGGTGCAGTGTGTAAGAATAAAGCTAGATTTCTACAATTAAATATTCCCAAATAGCCTAATGTCTCAATCATGTCAGAAGGAAGGTTATATTAAAGATATTTAATTCTCAGCCGACTGGGGGTGTGTCAGTTTTTCTCCTTTCAAAATAAATAGGGATGTATACTGTTTACAATCAGTGAGTACAGGGTTATCTTGTCTCCTGCGAGCTAATGCTGCACTGCTGGCATTTGTAATTTGACTACAGCCTGCAAAAAATAAAAATAAATAAAAATAAAAAGTGTTTAAAGAACCAAAGTCAGTAACAAGAGCAACCCACAAGTTATTTCTTGTACCCCTATGAAGCCACAGCATCTTTTTGTTTTACTCTGATATAGAGGCTAGAGGCTACATTGGGCTAACAATGCCAACGGATAATTAGAAGCAAATAGTCGGCTATAAAAATATCTCAAGCTACATTTGCAATTACCAACAACTCATTATTGCAGTGAAATCTGTGTGTGGAGTGAATACTGAGTCAAATGTATTGTAGCAACTCCGAGCGTCTCAGCGGCAGGTTTATAGTCCCCCAATCAACCAGCAGGAAGCAGTAGAGGTTCACACAGACCTTTATTAGGCTTTTTCTTCAACGCTTTGTAACGCTACAGACACGATCCTCTATCACGCTCCTACCACACAGAGTCACGGTGTCAGTTAACCGTGCTAATTCAACCCGCTCCACAGAACACACATCACCTTCCTTGTGGCTAACCTTAACATAACACTCACACAACATGCAAATCAACACATAGGAACTAGCAGAACGATAGGAAACACATATAACACAATACCCAGAATGCACCTGGCTTACAACCCCAGCCAGGTCATTACAATATCGTTTTACTAAACTAAATGAGTCATTCAGGGCAATAACAACAATCTACCAGACAGACGGTAAAAACAACACTTCCTCTGTGGCAGCTGCTTATTACCGTAATAAGTGTAATAAGCAGTGTTGGGCGTCTTACGTTAAAACAGTAATTAGTTATAGTTAGAAATTACTTTTTTCAAAAAGTAACCGAGTTAGCAGATTAGTAACCATATTGTAAAAGTACTTAGTTACCAAGTAACTGTAATGTTACTTTTATGTTCTATAACAGAGTTACATTCTATAATATCTATAATGTGAAATATTTTTTACAACTGAATGATTCTTACTGTCTAGAATGAACATTTCAGATAGCCAAAAAGTTCATTCAGTGAGATGTTCGCTAGAATATCTGGAATGTTCATTTCTACTAGGAGCAATAGAATTATAGATATCTGGAATGCCTATCCAATCTGCCTAATAAATGTTAAAGGTGGAATATGGAACATTTTAATAAAAAGGCTATATTTAAAAGACAATAACAATAAATACACAGGGCAATTAGAGATGTGCAGAATGAATGTACAGGTTTTGCTTTAAAAGCTAAATAAAAAAATAGCAATAAAAATTGTATTTTGACGGACACAACACTGGGTTTATGTTTCCATCTACCAGCCACTAGAGGCCACCGTTAAGCTAAAAAGTCCGCTCAGCAAGGCAAGGCTCGGACTGAGTAAAATGGTGGACTTGACAAGTCAAGCAGCTGATTCTGAGCCCACAAGATGTTCTAACTATAAATACTGTTGTAAAAAAAATTATTAATAGAAATTAGGGGTGTAAGGGTATGCTAAAACTGTATTTGGTTTGGTTCAGTAATTTAAAGAGCTTGGTTCAATTATTTTTTTGGTATATTATTATTATATTTATTTATTTAATAATATCTAAAGCAGCTCCTATAGTGATCAGAACCTGGTGTCATCACGGGCTGCTGATCTAGCATGATGTCTTTCATTATTTCACACTTCATTTGCGCAGTTATGAGTGTCACGTTCATACAGACAAGTGTTGTGTTTGACTGTAGATGCTCCGTGTTTTTTTCCTTAAAAACTCACCTCACACCGCCCAGAGTTTATTCTTTCAAACTCATATTAAATAACTATCTTCCTCCGCGCCGTATTTTTCGTTGTAGAATGAAATCTTTACATCAGTTGTCATGGGGAAAGTTCAGCAGACGTGTTTGTTTACATTTTTGTTGCTGTGTGCCAGCAGTGTGAGAGAAGGGAGGGAGGGGCGACGCACCGTTCAGCGTCTCAACAGGCTCCAGTAGCAGCGACTGCCAGCTGGTTTGATCTGCTCTAAAAGGCATTGATCAGAATTTGCAGATCACATTTGTTAAACAGGGATCAGGCGCGTGCAGCCATCATGCGTCACTCAATACAGCGTCCGTGCAGAAACTCGCCTGGGAACTTTTATACGCTGCTCTTAAATCACGCAGATAAAAATTCATTATTTAACGGAAAATGAACTGAAACACTATGCAACTGGACCAAGCCCAACAGGCTGAACCGGAACGTTCAAACCCCCCCCCCCCCCCCCCCCCCCCCCCCATGAACCGTTACACCCCTAGTCCTTACCCTGTACAATTCGTCACTGAACATGCAGACAGCAAGAAAATTAGTTCTGTTGCTGCAAAACCACC